CCCAAGACTGCCCCCAGGCGCCCCCATTGTGCCCTTCCCCCTCCAATCCCCCCCTGGGGCCCCCCCCAGCACCCATCCTGCCCTGCCCTGCTTTGCCCTCCATCCAGATCTGGTACCACCCCTCTGGCCAGTCACCCCTCCTGCCCCCCAGCGCCTCACCCAGGAAGACCCTCTGGACAGTGAGCGGCTGGTCCCCACGCAGTGAGCCCCGGCCCCCAGCTAGGCTGAAGCCCAGGCCCCCAGAGTCCTTCATCAGCTGCACCGACAGCACCGTGGCTGGCTCCTCTACAGGGAGGGTGGACAGAGGGGGTGGTCAGACATCCACCATTTCCAGGGAACAGCCCCCCTGGATCCCACCTGCCCCTTACCTGGCGCAAATGGAGGGGTCCCGTTGGGGGCCACATCCTTGCTGCCTCTGCGCAGCACCACGACAGCCTGGCGGGCAGCTCGGGCCCTGTGCAGCACCCACAGTGCTTGTGCATGGCTGCAGTCCCCCAGTGGGTGCCCGTTGATGGAGAGCACCTCGTCGCCCGGCTGCAGGGAGCCGTCCCGTGCGGCCAGGCCGCCAGTGAAGACACGGTGGATCTGAGGGGACCCAGGGAGCAGTCTCAGGCCCTAGAGCCCAGGGTGACCCCCCCCACCCCCCAGCTGCACGCGGGGCCCTGGCACTCACCGTCACTGGCCGGTGCTGGTCAGTGCCCCCTGCAAGGCTGAAGCCAAGCCCAGTGCCATCCTCCTTGTGCAGCACAATCACATGGATGTCCTCGAGGTGCTGCCGAAGGGATGCATCAGGGCTGTGGCTGGGGGACCTTCCAGGGCCACAGCCACCAAAGGGAGCCCCAGGCTAGGGCCTCAGTACCTGCAGTGTCTCCTCCCCCAGCCTTTTTGCCTCCTCTAGCATCAGCTCCACGTCGGTGGCTGGGATCAGTGACGCACTGGACATGCTGGAGTTCAGCGGTGTTGAGCAGGTCTTGGCCCTGGCACCCTCGTCCTGTGGAGCCTCCTTCCTGTCCAAGCCCCAGTCGCACAGCTCGGCCAGGCTGGGCGTGGGGAGGGACACAGGTCATGGCAGTACCCCCATGACCCAGACCCTGCCCCACCCCCTGCTCCCCGCAACCCAACACCAATGCACCCAGCTTACACATCTGCACCAAGTCCCCACCTGACCCCTGAGCAGCCAGGCGCTGATCCTGCCCTCTTTCTATTCCCAGGATCAATACAGGGCCCCTCTGAGCTTTGCCCAGCCCAGAGTGCCCCTCCCTTCCCTGCAGGGCCCCTGCAAGAGGAAGAACAGAAGACCCTGAACTGGCCCGTGGGTGACACCTGCCCCAGGCTAGCCCCATGGGCCTGCTTACACATCAGCCCTGACCCTGGCCCACCTGAGGGTGAAGCTCCTGTGGTCATGTTGGCTTTGCCCATCTGGCACTGCTGAGTCGGAGTCTTCCCTGTCAGACTCCCCCAGGCTACAATGTGCAGCAGCGAGCAGCCCCAGGTCCCGGTGCCTGGGAACGGCGGTATCTGGGGGCAGCGAGGTGGGGATTGGGGAAGATGTGAAGGGGCCTGGCTGGGCCAAGCAACTCCAGGGGGGCCCCCAGGGATGTAGGGCCACTGGGCTTGAGGGTGCCGGGGAGCAGCGGGGTACCCTGGCAGCTAGGCCTCGCAGTTGCCCCTCCCTGGAGGCCCCTACTTCTGTACCAGCGCTGAGCTCCAGAGCTGCCTGGGGGCTGCCCGCCTGCCCCAGCTGCAGAGCGAGGGGAGTGGAGGGGGCCTGGGGCAGCCCCCAGGGAGCCAATCGGGCCCTCCCCCCTGGGTCGGCTCCTGCCCTGGTTGCTGTCAGGCTCAGGTCTCTGCTGGCCCCCAAGCTGCCGGGCTGTGGCTGCCTGAGGGCTGAGGGTCCTGGGAGCTGCCCCCCTCTCCATGGGGGCCAAGGCTTCTGTTCCCTGCACCAACTCTGGTGGGCTCTGGCTGGCCCTGGGCCTCCCCCCTGCCCACCTCTGCTGTGGGGGGCTGCAGCCATGCAGGGGGCCTGTGGGGGCCCAAAACGCAGCTCAAAGGCCTGAACCTGCTCCCTGACAGAGCAGCTGGGCCGGGCGCCAGGGCCCCCCTGCCCTGTGGGCACCTGGTTCGGGGGAGGCCATGTTCCCCCGAGAGGTTCTGCCCGGCTGTCACCCAGGCTGGGGGAATGACCCCTGTTCTGCAGTCTGGTCTGGGCTCTGCTGTGGGGAGTCTCGAGCCTGCTCTCTGTGGTTGTGTCCTGCTCAAAGAGCCGGACCAGCTCCTGCAGGCGGCGGTGCCGGGGGACTGTGGGCGCCTGCAGTGGCCTCACAGAGAAGCGCTGGGTGGGGTCTGGCCACAGGATCTCACAGCTCTGGGCTCGTGGGTGGGCAGGTGACTGCATTCCTGCTGCGGTGGGTTATGCCACTGGGTCACGTGGAGGTTTTATGAGCCCAGGGGGTCTCTGGCTCCACTGATGCCTTCAGTTCCCCCTGGCAGCTGCTCCCACATCCATCCTGGGGTGCTCCCCAGGGGCCAAAGTACACGGCGGGGGCCACTGCCTCTTCCTGCCTGTTGGAACACAGCACAGATTGCGTTGGCAGCTGGATCCTGCTCCAAGGCCTGCCGCAGCTTGTGTCCCAACCTGTCACGATGAGGCAGGCGAGTTATTTCAGGTGTTCAGGTGGAGCCAGCCCCAGCATGGGAGGCTATGGCACAAGAAACCAGCCCTTGCCTGCAGCATCTTCAGGCTCCCAGCAAGGCCAAGGCCCAGCTGCCCTGAGGGTTTTTGCTACTTACAAATCCCCAGGGCAGAGCTGGCAGCCCTAGCACTGGCTACTCAGGACTGGGAGCCAGGGCCCTGTTCCTATCTGCCACATCTCACCAGTCAACCATGTCTGTGCCTGCAGGCCCGGCTGAGACAACGGGACATGCGGGCACCGCTGGGGCATGACCTGGCAGCCAAGGGGACCTGCAGGTCATGGAGCAGGGAAGCTAGGGCTTTATGGGTTGGGGCCCAGAACGGAAGCGCCAAGTTGCTGGTGGGAGTCAGCGGCAACTGGGGAGCAGCAGGATGTGCCATATCTGGAGGCTTTTAGCCAGGATCCACCTCCGGGAGCACAGCCTGGGTGGGTGCACCAGGCTGCCTTGTGGGGAAGGGGTGCAATGTCCCTTGAAGTGCCCCACCCCCCAGCACCTACCAGGCAGGTCCTACCTGGCCCTTGGCCCTGTGGTGAGCAGCGTGGGGGACACGGGAAACAGCAGGGTGGTGCAGGGATGCCCAGGGGGCACAGTGCACCTGCAGCCAGACAGGGCTCGTCTCCTAAGCAGGGAGCCGGAAGGGGGCCTCTGCAGCGGGCGCCTACAGGCAGCTAAAAAAGGCGCCAAGGCAGCTTCCTGCCCCACTGTTTCCGCCGCTGGGCCCAGGGAGCGCAGCTGACAGCTACAGCTGCCACTTCCTTTTGCTCCACAGAGCTAGGGGGGCAAGCAAGGGGCTGAGGCCCTTGGCCAAGGAAAGGGTCAAGGCCTGTACTGGATGCAGCCTCAGCCACCACCCCACGCTCCTTCACCCAGCCCTCCTACCCTGGGGCCACTGTGCACGGAGCAGAGCTCAGCTCCTTGTCCACATGCCCTGGAAAGCAACAGGGCAGCCAAAGGGGTTGAGTCCTGCTTGCCCAGAGCTCCCTGGTCCTACAGGGCTACTGCTGCTGCTGCCTGACCTGCACCAGGGGAGCAAAGTAAAGCCCACAGGGGATGTGGGTCACCATGGCACGGCCAGAGTCCACCTCACTCCAGAGATGGCAGCACCTTCCACGCAAGCCCAAGCTGAATGTTTGTACCTCTTCTGCCCCAGACAGAGCAATCGTGGGGGGTGGGGGTTAGGGCAGAAGAGGCATTGCCTGGACTTGGAAGTCTGTTCTGCACCATACAATGGCAACACCCCGCAGCAAATTCCAGCATTGTGCCCAGAAGAGCAAGGGCTGCCAGGGCTGGGACCAAATGCCTGGCAGAACTAGGGATGGTGGCTGGGGCACTGCAGGACCAGGCCCTCCCCTGCCAGCCTGCTGGAGCAGGGAGAAGGCACCAGGCTCCTTCCCTGAGCTAAACCTGTAGGTCAGGCAGGCAGCCAGACCTGGACTGGGCATCAGTTGCACAGGGGTACTGGGCCTGCTATGCCAGCATCAGGGAACTGGAGCTGCTTGGGGCCCCTAGGGGGAGGAACCAGAATGTGATATAGAGCTAGGAGCTAAAAAATCAAAACACACCCCAGACTCAGCAGGGAGGGGAGCAGCTCCGAGGATCAACCCTGCTAGCATTTCCTTGGCCCCTTCCTGCACGCCGATACCCTGTGCCAGGACATGGAAGCAGGCTCAGGATGTCGGTATTAAAAAATACACACAGCACTTGGTGACCTTTATTCTTTTTAGTCATCGACCCATTGGGGGGCTTATTGAAGGGATTGGGTGGAACTGAAAAATACAAGAATCAACTGCATAGAAACTCCACCCCCCCCCCGAAAAAAAAAGGGAAAGCAAAATATACTTACAGCGTGCAGCAGGAGGGGGAGGGGACAGGCGGGGGGGCAGGGGAACAGGACCAAAAGTCAGGGTAGCTCTGCCCAGCTCCCCAGCAGCTGTGGAAATGAGACCCAGAGGACGGCGTGGGGTTTTCATTTTTATATACAAGACACATTTATCCATTGAATTTGGAACACGGTACAAAAACACTTCAACTAATTCATCTTACAATGCTGTTCATATCAATTACTGTTCTTATTCCTAATAGTAAAGGGGTTTGCTGTAGGCGGGCTGGCAGCCTTCCACTCCTTGGGCTCCGGCGGGGTCTGGGGCGCAGGGTGGTGGGCAGGGAGCAAGGAGTAAAAACCAAGAGAGGCCCCTACGGCAAACGGTTCAGAATCCGAATGCAGAGAGAGAAAAAAAATACAAATTCTATATTACATATAACAGGAAAGGTGGCTGCAAACAGACACGATGCAGAGCCCAGCACGGCCCAGACAACTGGGACGCGGGTGGCGCACGCTTCTCCCTGGGGTCCTGGGGTGGCAGGTTGGGTTGTTGCTCTTGGCGGTGGCTCAGTTGGCACCCCAGTTGTAGCTGTTGTAGGTGGACTTGTTGGCCTGGGACTTCTGGGGGATGGAGCTGCCCTGGCTGCGCTGTCCGGTGCCACTCTGTTGGGGGAATGTGGACGGTTACTGAGGGCAGCAGGTGCCTCTGAGCCCCGGGGTCCCGTGCCTGGCCAGTGTGGTGTGGTGCAGCCTCCAAAGGAAGGCAGAGCCTCAGTCCTGGGAGCCAAGCCATCCCGTGTTGACACCGCAGGCCCACAAGGCCATGCCAGACTGCAGCTCTGCTCTGTACTCCACAGCTGCCACCGACCTGCTGTGGCCAGTGCCAGCTCCACCAGTGCCACTTGAGCCCAGGGAGAAGGTGGCTTCCTCCCATGGCAGCAGCGAGCAGCGCCCCGGTTGTCAGAAGACCCGCACCAGACGCTGCCCCACCTCCTACCCCACTCTCCTTCCACACGAGCCACTCCACCATCGTACACCAGACCAGTAATGCTTCCAACACCAGCGGGGAGGTGAGCACGGGGGTGTGTGCGCGCGCGGGTGTGTGTGTGCACATCCTGGCTGCTGCCTCCCTCCTTGCCTGGCTGGATGCTGCCGGCTGGGGCTAAGGTGGGGGCGGAGGAGGGCCTGGGCGCAGGGGCGAGACCCCGGGGCAGCGCGGGTGGGCATGAGGCAGTATCATTCAGAGGTTCATTACCTGGTCTTCCTGCTGGCGTTGGCAGCACAGTATCATCTGCAAATATGGAAGCTGTTGCAGTACCGGGATATGTAAAATAAAGGGACAAACTATGACAATAGAAATCCACGGTTAGACCTGAAAGCTACGGTGGGCTCATGGCAGGTGGCGATTGACCCCTTCACTGCCAGCCTGCGACGCCGCCCCTCCCGGGAACAGGGAGGTCAGGCCGTACCAGGTATGTTCGCAGGGGAGGGGTGCCGGCCGAACGGACCTGGTACAGCCCAGCAGCAACAGGGCGGCGCCGAGCCCCTGGCGGAGAGTGCCCCGGGCCCTCCTCACCTCTTCCTCTCAGGCCGGGCATGTACATGCAGGCACAAGTGAGAGTATGTGCGTGTCGCCGCGTGTCTGCATGTGTCCGCTGTGGGGTGCAAGCGGGAGGGGGCCAGGGAGCAAGAGCCCTAGGAGATAACCCGGCAAGAGTGGGGTGCTTACCTGCCCATCCTGCTGCAGGTGGTGGTGGAGGATCTGCGAGTGGGGCTGCTGATGTGGGGTCAGGATGTGCATGAAGGGGGCCGGTGGGTATGCCGCAGCTGTGGCAGGGTTGATGGGGCCGCTGCTGCCCAGCGCTGAAGGCAAATTGAAGGAGGCTGCTGGGGTTCCAGTGTGAAATCCCTGCTTCTCAAAGGACTGCTGTTAAGAAAAAGCCAGCAGGCACGTGAGGCATGGCTGGCCCAGCGTGCTGCTCTAGCTGTCTACTTGCACACGGCAATGCCGCCCCAGACCACAGGACATGTGGCAGTGCCAGAGACAGAGTGGTGGAGGGAGGGAGGGAGAGACACCCGTGCCCTGGCCCCTTTGTGCTGCCTGGCTCAGAGGGCAGAAGTCCGCCAGCCCTTCCCAGGGCCAAATACACCATCTCCCTGCAGAATCTTATGGGTCTGGCCCCTGCCAAGGGCAGAAGAGCCCCCTGCCCCCACCACAGATCATACCCACATACCTCCCATCCACCCAGAGTTCAGAGAAAAGAAACCAACCTGAGTTTTGGAGTAGACTGAGCCCGAGATGTCTGGTACTCCTGTGTTACTGGATGTCACCGATACACCTGGGGATGGAGGATGCCCAGGGAGGGTCAGTCAGGAGCCACAAGCTCCCACCTGTGCAAGCCATGCAAGGTGCAGTGCAGCCCCCACTATGGCAGCTGAGAAGGGTGAAGCTCACTAGCTCAGCCCAGAGCTGGCGCTGACCAACTTCCCTGGCCCTGCTGGTAGGCTGGTAGGCAGGAATCCAGCTCTGCAGAGGCACGACCCCTCAGACAGGCTGAGATTTCTCTTCCAGCAGTGAGCAGCACACCAGGCCCAGCACACTGGCAGAGTGCTGCAGGCTTAGCTGGTCACAGGTGACAGGAAGTGATCCATCCAGCCCAACCTTACCAGTGTTGTATCCATGGGAGCCGTAGCCGCTGGGCTGCTGAAACGGGGTTGCTGATGCATTCACGCTGACATTCACACCATGCTGCTTGGAAGAGGTAGGAGCAACCTGGAGAAAGGAGCGGGCCGGGCCAGTGAGCACTAGACTGCCCAGGGCTACCACCCTGAAGCCCATGGCGCAAGGGGACACTCACAGGGAACACGGCAGGCCCGTACTGGAAGGTGCTGGGGAGCCCAGGGACCCCTGTGTAATATGGCAGACTGGTGTAACTGTAGCCAGGAGGCAGGGCCGGGTTCAGGAATGTCTGCTGCGTGGTGTGGTGTGTCTGCGTCTGGCTCTGCTGAGGCTGCGCGAGGGTCGTCGCCGGAGCAGGGGAGGAAGCATCACCTCGGCCGAACTTTGTGAGGTCACCTGAAGTGGGAGGATGGAGGGAGACAGGTGGGAATGTGCACACTGGCCTAGGGATGGGGGTAGGGGTATGGAGTCAGCTGTGCCTCGTATGTGTCCCACCCAGCGATTCCCAAAAGCTTCGCAAACAGGTGTCATGTTCCCTGGGACTGAGGGCTCCAACCAAGAGCAGCTGGACGGTACACTGTGGACAGAGGGCAGATGAAGCCTAGCACTGCCAGTCTGGGAGGTTCCAGCCAGCCCTGTCAGCAGCATGAGCCTGGGAGCACTATGGCCTTGTGAGTCATGTCCTTGAACTCAGCGATTTCAGAACGGCCTTCCTCAAGGACTGGATGAAAGCAGCAGCCATCCTCTCCTCCCAAGGCGAGGGGCCCAGCACACTCAGAACACTCAGGAGTCAGAGCTTTGCCAGCTGCGGGTGCTGTGAATAACTCCTTTCTGCAGCTCTGCTCACAACCCCCCCTCCCCCCCATGGCACACAACCAAGTGTCCCTGCAGGGCCCAGGGGCTGCAGAAAATGCTCAGAACTGTTACTTCCTCTTTCCTAGCCAGCAGCTGGCCCTGGCGCCAGGGCACAGGCTGGAGAGCTGCTGCTCGCCTTTCTTTGCAAGCACCTGCCTGGCTCTTTCATAGGAACATGCTCCCCATTCAGCGTGGCACAGTAAGACAGGGACTTCCTCTGCATGATCTCAGCAACGCAGCCTGGCTGGGACGGCTGCAACTGCTAATTCTGGGTGCCAAGGCGAGCTTGGCAAATAAAACACACGTGGCAACACTGTGGTCTGGCCTGGGTGCCAAGGCAGCATGCTGGGCCGAGGTACTGTGCACAAACCAGCCCCAGGCTGAAGAAGGGGAAGGAAAGAAACAAGTAGCACATGGGGCCTCAGGCCTGGGCTCTATGTCAGAGGTCAAAGCACCTTTCAGGGCAGAGGCCGATCGCAGCATCCGGGGCACTTACCAGTATGTGGCCAGTCAGGATTCAGAACACACTGTCCAGTCTCCATTCCCCTCCCTACTGTTCCATGACCCAACACCACACTCTCTTACGGGTTGAGCCTGAACACAGTGCGGCACTCCCTGACCTGCTGCTACACACAGCCCAGCCTTCCCTTAGCTTGGTTACTCTGCCCGGCTCATGCTGCTCCAACAGGGAAGTGCCTGACCCAGTCACACCCCTCGATGGGCTCTGACAGAGACAAAAGCTATGAAGCTGGAAAGAGCTGCAAACTGAGGGCTTTGCTGCCTCAAATCCCAGGGGCACAAGCAGCAGTGCCTTCAGAAACACAGGGAACATGATGCCTCCCTTGGAGCCTGCCCTGTTGAATGTGACACAACCAGTGCATTCCAGCTCCCACAGCATGGCTCTCTGGCCACGGGTTCCCACACAAAGCTCTGCTTCAAGACCCAATAGCCCTGCCAAGCCCACGCTGGAACAAGCTCCTACCAGAGTACGGGTTGCTGCTCAGGCTGCCGTCTCTTCCCGTCAGCGGGGTGGTGGGCGTGGGGAATGGGATGCTGTAGTAATCCTGGAAGGCAGACGGAGGGAAGACTCAGTGAGCTGCGTTTGACACCGTGAGGACAGGCCCCCTGGAGGGCAGCGTGCAAGGGCATGCTGGAGCAATGCAGCTCAATCAGCCAGAGGCAGGGCGATTGCATCTGGTAGAGACTCCAGGTTTTTGTTGCATGACCATCCCCCGTCTAGCTACGAGAAAAGCTAGAGAGGGTCTACTGCCATGCACACACCTCACAGGGCCAGAACTGACCCACAGGCTCAGCCACGGGACTGCAGCCCACCTTCCTAGACAAAAGCAGCCCCCCCTTGCTCCCTAGAATCACAGCCAGCTCTATGTGCAGAAGATAGGAACCCCCCATGTCTGCAGGAACTTGACATCCCACCAGCAAAGAACAGAGCCTCCTGCTTGCTGTGCAACACGTTTCACATGCTCTTCACCCCCAACACCGCTGCTGCCTGAATGTACCAGTTCCCAAGTGATCCGAAGTGAGAGAACACAGGGAGGAGCAAAACCATTTGCAACCTAACACATGCCCCACACTGGACCCACAGAAGCCTCCTACGCTAGCATGCCAACAGCAAGGCATTCCCCAGAGGCATGGACTCACCAGCGGGAATCTCGTCTGAAGCATTTGCAAGTCGTCATACCCATACACTTGTGGCTGAGAAAGGAGGAGATTGCATTAGGGATGTTGATCGTGCAGGTCCAACTGCCCCGTTATCATGGTAACGGAGGCAGATCTGAGCAAGCTTAGGCTATGCGCTAGCTGACTGAACAGTGAATGTCAGGGACCACCTGGGAACCTGGAAAAAACCCTGTATTTCTCTGCTGGAAGGTGAGACTAAGAAAACTTGCTTTGGCATGGGAATGTACAGGCACCAACATGTCTGCAGCTCACAGCACTGGGCGCCTTGCACCACTCTGCTATGCAGACAGAGGTACGCTGTCTGGCTAAGATCCTGGGTTCTTGGGGGAGATGGGCTTTCATGACCAGAGGGCGAGAGGGCATGGCATGGAGGAAGCTGAGCCCACAGGCCACGGTATCTGTTCAACTGTCTCTATAAAGGCACCTGTGCCAACCAGAGACTTCTCCAGGACAGCTGCTGCAGCTGGGACCTGCAGCCTCCTCTGCCACCAGCAGAAAGCTTGGTGATGTGCCCTAGTCTCAATGCTTGCCACAGATCACTCATTTGCCTTTAACCTGCTGTGTTGCTAGCTCTGCTCCAAACCCTGCCCCTTGATGATGGTACTCTGGTCTTGGGTTGCTACTGCTCCTCTTCATGAAGAAGCAGGCAGGAGAATCTCCACAGCCTCTCTCACGGCTGCACTGCACTGACTCGGCTGCAAGCCCATGTCATGCATGCACAGTGCAGCGCCTGCCCCAGGTGCACAAAGGCACTGCTCTGCCTCATGCTACGTGGATTCACTGGGGGGGGAGCCCAGACTCACAGCCCAAGGCAGCCCCACATTCCAGGCTTGTTAGAGTCTGATGTTGCAAGGTCAACCAGGAGGAGTCTGCTTGACTGCATCTGGTACGACTCTGGTTCTTCTAGCATGCGCTGTCCCTCCCTCCTAGCCAGGGAGAGAGCTAGGAAGGATCTACTGGCATGCTGTGACTCTGCAGTGAGCTAGCTGCTGCCCTACTCACCGGATAGGCGTGTAGCAGGCCTGGAGCCATGATGTACGGATTAGGCAACAGCGGTGGGACTCCAGGAGGGAGGTTGGGCGGGGCTTTTCCTGAAGGAGAACAGAAGATATGGTGAATTGAAGAGCCACCACCACAGCTCCGGCCTGTACCTGCTCCATACCGGGAAGTACCTGAAGTCGTTGCAACTGAGCTGCGCGTTGAGGCTGTCACTGTGGAGTTGCTGCCGAGGCTGAGCCCCAGGCTGCTGACGCTGCCAAGGCTGGAGGAGACACTGACCACAGGCGGGGCAGCCGAGACCGTGCTGGAGGAGGTGGAGAAAGTGCTAGCAGCAGAATGGAGGCTTGCTTCATTCTCCACACTTGTGTGCTAATGGAGGGAAGAGAATGGGAGGCGTTGGGGCCAGGCCATCTGTATCACCTCCTGGGACCCACAGGCACCCCACACCCAGAGCTTCCCAGCTGCAAGCCTGGCTGCTGAGCCTGGGCAGTGACCTGCTCCTGCACCGGGCTCCCAGCTCTGCCTCCAGCCTCTACACTTTCTTAAACAGACCAGGCTCAGACACATCTTCGCTATCCAGCAAGCACTGTGCAGTGGCAGGCAGACAGGCCTGCTCAGGACGTCTGGCACAGCAACTGAGTGGCATCAAACCTACCAGCTCACACCAAATAGGCCTAGGAGCACGTGTACATGGCAGATGGAAGGGAAGCCTGTTTTAAAGGCACCCAAGAGACACGGGAACCATGCTGCTGCTTTGCTCTGTACACAGTTATCCACCTCAAGAGCCAGCTCCCAGGCAGATGCCCCATGCAGTCAGGCAGAGGGGCAAGGTCATCAGTAACGTGGCTGCTGCAGCTTTACAACTACTAGGGAACTGGCCACCTGACAGGTTTTGAAACCAAAGGCCCCACTCCCCTCCCCCTCAATTCAGCCTAACACAGGAATCCTCTTGTGTCAGTAAACAGGATAAAGATGCCCCAGGGTTTGGAAAGTTCAGGCCTGGAAGAATACAGGGAGCAAGACATTAGGAAAGGACCAAGAGAGGAACCACTCGCAGAACATGCCCTGGGATGAAGCCCCACGCCCTGATCACAGCCAGAACTCCTGACTCTTCCAATGCCCATCCCAGCATCCCACCTCTCCCATCTGCATGAACAAAGAACCAAATGATCCTGGCCCATGGCAGGTTGTTGACACAAGCCAAGAGCGGCTACAGTGCAATCTGCGGAGAGTGGTGTCTGAGGGGACGCTGAAGACTAACACTCCACTTCCCATCCTAGCACTTCCAGTCACAGGCATGTCGAAGTAGTGCAGTTCAGTCAGCCACCAGCCTGGTCTGACTGCATCTGGTTGCATCTCCATATTGTTCTGCGGCACACACTCTTCCCTCAATAGCTACAGCAAGCTAAAGAGTTGTAAGCATGCCGTGAGCAGCCTCAGCCTAGCAACTGGAGCAGTGGCACTCGGCACCTTGACGGGTCTACTCGGCAGCCCGCACACTTACCAGAAGAGTGGACGTGGATGTGCGCCCAGAGGATGTTGATGAGGAGAGGCTATTCTGCTGCGTGGGTAACGTGCTGCAGGGACAGAAGAAAAACCATGAAGCCAGCAGAGTTGAGGGAATGGCAGTGCACCCCATGGCCCACCTGAGTCAGCACAACACCATCACAGCTCTGCTTCCCGGAAGGATGTAGATTGCCCTTCCCCTGTGGGAAGCGCCAGCTGCCAGATGCAGCTGTGCTTGGGTGTCCTCACCAAGCCAATAGGACAGGATGGGATGGGAAGGGATGCCCAGCCCAGGACTGGAGCCAAGGCTGAGGCAACTTCCTAGGCAAGCAGAGAGCACCAAACACTTCTCTCCAGAGACCTTCCCTGACTCACTGCCTTGCTTGGGCAGGAGATGGCCCAACCTAAAACACTCATATATGACATCTGAACAGAGCTCCTGGGGTCCCCACTACAAGGGGAGGCTGCAGTAGCAAGTAACAGGTACAAGGGTCTCCGTTGCCCAAGGAAGGGAGTGGAACCCAGCACTGGGTCTCCCTGGTCTGCCCCACCAAGCTCACCTGCTGAGCTGGGTGGTGGTCGTGTTGGGGAGCTCCTCGCTGTGGCTCAGGCTGCCCAGGGCTGCCGAGTGCTGGCTGGATGTTGTCAGCAGAGATGATGCAGAGACAGCGTCACTGAGAGGCGCGATGTTGGGGGCAGAGGGAGAATCTGACTTCGCTGCAGGGCCTGTAGCACCTGGGAACAAACTGCTTTGGTTAAGGGGCTCCTCAGGGCCCGCAGTAACATCAGCATGTAACTGCAAATGTGAACCCTTCCCAACCAGCCCTCGGAGGAGAGACAGCAACTGACACCAGCGGATATGCACAGGCTAGGGCAGTGTTTCTCAACCTGTGGTACGTGTACCCCTGGCGGTACATGAGACATGCAGGGGGTATGCGGGTACTGAGTTTTGGTCTTTGCCTGCTCGGGCCAGAAGTTCCAGCTGTTGCCCCTCCCACTGTGTCCGGTGCACTGGGGCTTTCACTCCCCAGTGTCAGTGCTGGGGGATACAGGAAGGAGGCCCCACGCAGGCTGCTTTGCCCCGGGCCACAGTGGAAAAAGTGGGACTCGGCTTGCAGCAGCAAAACTGGAAGTGCCACAGTGGTACTTTTGCTGTGTCGATCGGCAGGGGGTACATAAGGTACCAAAGGTTGAGAACCACTGGACTAGGGGATGGGAGAGATGGGATGGGCCCAAGCTGTGCTGCCAACCCGCTGCCTGACAGCTGGAGAGTACTATCATTTCCAACTGGCAGAGGGCAAAGAAGGCACAGATGTTACAGGACTCACTCAGAGGACCATAGACAAGTTATCAAAAAGCTGAATGCTTTTGGGTAAGCAAATGAAGCAGCAGCAGAAACTGCCCAGCTAGGCGAGAGCATTCCGGCAGCCCTGGTCACCTTGTCAAGGCAGTTGCTGCTCACCCTCCCTCAGAACCCAACGCTCCTGTGCTTGGAGAGAGCAGGCACCTCACGTGTCACCGAGACCCTCACCTTCAATGGCCTGCGTGGTTTGTAGCTGCGTGGGCTGTACAGAGCTGAAACCATTCTGGAAGAGAAAAGGAGAGTTCGGTATGGCATCTGCTCCCTCTCCTGACAAATCTGTTCTCAACCCTTCTTCCTCACGTGCTGAGCAGAAGGCTGGTACTCTTGCCCAGCATCGACACTACCAGTCTTCATTCCAACTGACAATCATGATGCATATGAGTGTCCGACTGCTTCTGACCCTTCCCGCTCAGGGCCTTCCCACCCCCGGGACTGTGAGTTCCACAGGCTAACAGTGGGCCCTCCTGCTGTACGCATTCTGCCAAAGTCAAGAGCAGCACCACTGGCAAGAGTGGATGCAGCTGCTCCTCCAGGCAGGAGGCAGGGCCATTGCCATACCTTGGCCTGGGTCAGGTCTTTCTGGGGCGAGGAGGAGATGGAGTTTGGGTATCGCCTGGTCTGGGTGGATCTCTGTTCATACAGTGGTCCCTGAGCGCTGTTCTGGGAGGTATACGTTGCTGTCGGTATTGTGCCGCTCTGGTAACCAGACTCCTGGCTTTGATTGGACGAAATCGTGGACGAAGATTCACTACAAAGAATGAAGAAAGTTTAGGGTCTCACCCAAGCAGCCTTGCAGAGAGCTGCTGACCAGCCCAGACCACAGCTTTCCCTGTCCACCCCATCCTTCTTAGACCTCAGCAAGTCAAGGAAGCCAAAGTGGGGGAGGAAGAGAAACAAGGGGCGCTTGTGGTGAGACTCCCCTCTTCACTGCAAAGGTAGCAGAAAGCCTGCCCCCATCTTGATCTCTGTTCAAGCACTGCAGGCCAAGTAGGCACAACTGGCCTGAAGGAGTCTGCTGGCACTCAAGCTGTTTCCTGTTGCATACGCTGTCCCCCCTTTCTGGCTATGAGCAGAGTCGGAAAGGGTCTACTGGTATGCAGTGCAACAAGAGGCTCAACAGCAACCCCCCTGCCAGTTGCTTCCCAGCACCTGGGATCGCTGCTCATCTACGCAGGTCTTCTAGGCACTAAGGGAGCTCCCAGCACCCCTCGCTCCCCCTGGCTACTCCTCTCCTCACCCCCCAGCAAGGCAAGTGGAGGCTGCCTGCAAGTTGCCCACTCAGCCCCAGCCAAAAATACCAGGCCAGCAGCTGCACTACTACCCGCCTGCCTTCCAAAGTACCTTCCTCCCAGGACACAGCACTTTGCAGCACAACCCAGCCTCACCTCGCAGTGCTGGTGAAGAGGCTGCTCTGAGACTGGCTTGCCGAAGCACTCGTCACTGGCGTTGACTCATACTCTGAGAGCACGGGCTCAGAGCCGAACTGCAACGCCCCAAACTGCAGGTTTAGCCCTGAGATATCTGCTGAACCAGGCATCTCCACGGCGAGTGCAGGAATCTATAAGGGAAGGAGGGTGCAAGCTTGAGGCCCGTTGCTGCCAGGTGAACCTCCCTGGGCATGCCACGGGCCCAGACTCAGCCTGTACCCTACTGCAGTGCTCACAGGCTTCCTACATCAGCCAGTTGGAAGCCACAGAATACCGTGATCAGGCCATCACCTGCTCTGACATCCATGGGGTTGATGCCATCAGACACAATGTTGGTGAGCTCCCCAGCCTCATGGCCAGTACACCTGCCCATGGCCAACCCACTCAAATATGTTTGTTCACTCCAGATTTGTTTAGTCTTCATCAGTCCTATGAAAGGCCTTTGGAACTCAGCCTCACTCTCAGTGACACAAACAGAGCCTGCCCCAGCTCCCAGACAACACTGCCTCCTTCCCCCTATCACAGTCCATACCTTTGATGTCAAAGAGGCTTTCTTCTTCTGTTGCTTTAGCTTTTGCTGCGCTGGCTGGGGACTGGAGGACTGGTTGTCTGAAGACCCTGGGGACATCTGGGGAACTGGGTTGGTTTTGCTGGGCAAGGGAGAGGAAGGGGGCGGTGGTGCTGCTGCAGGAGCCGTCACCACGGGCTGCTTGTCCTGCATGAACACCTCCATCATGGTCGACGTTGGCGTGAAGGCTTGGCGCTTGGTGAAGGGGCTGTGGACGGAGGAATCCGTCGGGTTCTTTAGATCTAAGGGAAACAAGGTCGGACCAATGGGGTTGTTTCCCCGGAGCCAAAGTAAGTTCAGGCGCTTCTCTGCTTCAAACAACCAGCCTTTGCCCCAGTCTGGAGCCAAAATATTTTCCCTCCCACAGAGCGGGGAGAGGGTGCATGATGAGTGGCTTGCCCAGGAGTCAGTGGCAGTGCAGAAGCAGAGCCCCACGTCCGGGCCTTGTACTCGACCTCCCCCCAGGCTCAACCAATTAAACCAAACCCTTTCCCAGCCCTGCAGGCAAATGGCCCCCTTTCCCCCAAACACGCTCTACAGAGGCAGGAGGAGACAAGTCCAGACACAAGGACTCCTTCCCTGTCACGAAAGGGCTGGGCTCATCCTGGAACCTGGGCAGGTGAGGGCTCAACACCTGAGCCTTGTACTGAGCTGATTCTGCCCCCTGCCCTTGCCCCCACATCAGGTTGCCTTGTACTGCCCCATTCCTGCCCTGTACACAGCAGCACCTGCCCTTCCTCCTCACAGCCCCAGGCCACCACTCTGCTTCTCACTGCCCTGCTCCACTTCTCTTGCCTGCCCCAGCCCACTCAATACCACCACTTATTACAAGCAGATCCTATTCTCTGCTTCTCCTCTATAGCCCCTTGTCTGAAGGGCCCAGGCGATGCCAACACTGGCTGCTGCAAGAACAGGGCTGAATTTTTCCACAGCTCAGATTTGAACGGGAGCCATTTCCCCAGTGCAAAAAACAAAACAGAGGCTGGAAGGAGCAGGATAATGCTCGATCACAGCAGAGCTCAGTGTGGCCTTCAAAGCATATGAGAACCTGGACTGAAGGGCCCTCAGGCCATTCCTCCAGGCCAGGTGTTTTGAGGCAAGGAAGTCACTGTGTGGACATCGATCTCTAGCATGAAAGATCCCTGGAAGTAGGTGGTTGTCTATTCAAGGGCCACGCTAGGTCAGCAGCACACACCTCCAAGAGTGGCAAATGTGCGCGTGTACTAGATCTAGTGCACAAGACAGCTCCTCTGCTCGGTGCTGAGGAGAATGCTCCTCTTTACTAAGGTAAAGCAGGGCTGCACACCCCATAGTGGTCTGACACCCCCAGTACCTGCAGCCATGCCAAGATTGATACCGGTGTTATGGGCACTCTGAATAGGCTAGTTTCTGCTGTCGGGGGCAGGAAGGATGGAGGAAAAGACCTTGGCTTGGTGTCTGCTGAGTCTAACCTCTCTCCATCCAGAGGACAAGTAGATTTACATCCCCACAAAACCCAGCTCCCTGCAATCTCTCTGACAGTCTGGCTACGGTCTCTGAAAGGCTCTGAAGCCTGCCACCCCAGTGGACTCCCTCCCGGCAGCAGTTGCGCCTTACCGTACTGCACGAGGGCCGAGGGCTGCGTTGTGGACCCCATGTCCCAGGAGGAGGCAGCGGTGCTCCCGCCTGGCTGGGTGTGCTGAGCCGCTAGCTGAGCCAAGGCTTGCGCGGTCTTGAACTGCTCCAGGAACTGCGAGCCTGTGGTGCTGCTGCCCTTGGCCTCCCCGACGTCTCCAAACCCTTTCCCCAACATGCTCACCTGCGGTTACGACAGGGAAGGGGTGGGGGTCACACTGTCTGCCCCAGCCTGGGGCTCTGGTCTCTAAGGACAAGCCTGGCCCCTCCCCACCTAACATGAGGCAGCAGTGAGAAGCGCGCCTGTGCAAAGACCAAGACTGAGGGTGGCAAGTCACCAAGCCCCAGGATCCACACGAAGGGAAGCAAGCAAGTCACAACCAACCACGGACACAGGCTCACTTGCTTACCATGTTGTGATGAGAGAAGGTGTTCCCAGAGGTTGGTTGGGATAAAGCACTCTGTTTGGAATTGCTGAACACCAGAGGCTGGGCCAGGGAAGGGGCCTGTGATGAATCCAAGCTTGCCGACTCATTCTCCAGAGAAGAGGGGGTTTTTCCCAACAGCACTGCCAGGTCGATTCTGGGGGGAAAAGGGGAGAGGATGAGACCTAGGCTACTAAGACCTTCAGTGCCTTACTCTGGCTTCCTATCCCTGACATTACATCCTCAGAGCTCCACATTCCAGAGAATTAGGCTAGATGACATGGATGTTAATGCACATGGTCTCTAGCAACCTCAAAGAACTCACTGATGTGACCTGCAGCTAAAAAAATGGAACTGGGTATAACAGCAGTTGCTGAGTGTCAGGACACAAGACACAACTGCAGTGCTTGCCGACCATGCTGCTGGTTTGAAATGGCAATGCTGGACATGGCTGAGCGCAAGACATTTTCTGCAGGAATGCATTTCAGTCGCATAAAAGGAGCAAACTCCCTGAATATCTACGTGCCTTTTGGAAGAGATCCCTGCCAACACCAAAAATTGCCTGCATGTCCTGTGAATCATCTAAGCATCTTCACTGAGGTCTGAGTCAGTCTAATGGACCAAGGTGCATGCCTTCCATTTAAAAATCAATGGGAGATGTTAAGCCCCAAGAAAGATTCTCAGAAATCTAACACCTATTTTATACAGGATTTGCTGAACCCAGGGGAATGCGGAACCTCTTGGCTTCCAATGTCAAAGCCATGTTAGCAAAATGCCACTGCAATTTTTTTCAGTGACGGCTCAGGAGTGGAGTTGAGTTATCTCCTGTCTATAGACTGCCCCACTGATTTTGGGGAACAGCATTGTTAAACTGAGCCCTCACCTCTGTCCAGCTGTGATTGTTACATTCTCTGCAGGCAGAGGTACTGAGGACACATTGGAAGCAGTGAAGATCTTGGTCTCTGAAAGCTGGAAGACAGAAGAGGGGGGCAATCCAGAGTCAGGACCATGTGCCAGGGAGATTCCAAAGTCAAAGCAAAAACAAGGCACCTCAGGCTGGGGATTACTCTCCACTTGCAGCATCCCCCAAGAAACCAGCATGGGTTCCACACCCCAAACACGCAGCTTCAATCAGACCACATCTGACCACCCCAAAACCCCTGAACAATGCAGCACGCTTAAGAAGTTCTGTTCCTCATTCCTAACAACCCCCAGATCTCCAGGAATGCTGAGAAGTTGCACAAGTGTCCAAACTGGAGACGTGCGGTCCCAACCAACAAAAGTCACTCCAGTGAGAAGTGATATCTGCCAAAAGCCATATGAAGGAAAGGCCTCAGATCTGGTTTCACAGACGAGCCTGAAATTACCCAACTTAGACAAGGCATCTAGATGCTGGGCTGGGCAACAACAGGTTTGCTAAGGCAGAGCAGAGGATATGTAAGCATGCGCCTTGAGGCTTCGCTTAGCATCTCCCTGGAGGCAAGGCAATGCAAGTACTCTGCAGGGCTGGGACTAATTAGCAAATAAAGCATAGCCTGCCTCCTGCAGGGCAGGGAAGGACTGTTTCAGTTTTAAGTAACAGGAAGTTTTCTAGTGACCATGGCGTAATCCAGTCTGGAACACACCAGCATATGAACAGCTTTTATTCCAGAGTGAAACCTGAGAGTTTCAAGCTGCTAGCACCTTGATACTAATAGGCAATCAAAGAGCAGGGGCACAGGCCAGAGCGCTTAGCTCATGGGCAAAGAGCCTCAGGCTGGGAAGTGCAATACAAGAAGGGCACCGAGAGCAGCATAAGGTGGAGACCTAAGGTTGGCCTCAGCACAGCTGCGGGGCTGCTAACAGCAGCAGCGCTGCCTCCTTTCAGGCAGAGGAAAGCTCTTCCTTTGTTGTCAGATCCACAAAAGCTCAGGCACAGGGAAGGAAAAACCTGTAGAAACCCTGATTCTGCTGCCATTAATACCACAAGTCACTTCTTTGTCTCACACAGCACAGGGTCTGGCTCAATGCTGGGGGACGTCAACCCCAGGGTCAATGTGGGAGCCAAGGTGCCTCCAGAGCAGCAGAGGGGAGGCAGGGACATGGAAACAAGACAAGCCACAGACCAACACAAAATGGAAAACTCAGCCCTTCTACGAAGCCACAGGACCCACAGCCTTGACGAGAAAGATGGGCTCCCCTCCCCAAGCCCCAGCAAGTACGTGGCCAACCAAAGGCAGAGCTCTCCCTGCTGTAACACAGCTGAAGCTCTGGGGCAAACATCTCAGTGATTTCCAAGATGGAGCTTGACCAGCTTATGAAAAGTACCATGGCATGGGGTCCTCTGCAATGGCAGGTGAGGTTACTTCTGCTGTCTGACAGCAGGCCTTGCCACCTCCCCCCCCCACAGAAGGACATCCTGCTGAGAACATGGTGAGAAGGGGCTTGGAGAGTACCTACATCTTCATTCCAGTCCTCTGTTCCCCATTCCTCTGTCGCTGTCCTCCATGCACCTAGAAGGATAGCAAGAGTTACACATGTGTACATGTGCAGGTGCATGCACACATCACAGTCCCACTCCTTTCACAAGCCAAGAAAGCACTGGGGGCACTGCAGGCAGCAGGGTGGGTGGTTTCTCACCAACCAGACAGGCTAGAGGCAAAGGAAGGCTGTGCAGACACGCCCCAACACCAAAGCAGGAACAGGGCTCCCCAGACTTCCCCTAAGCCCCTGCATTTTGAGCTGGCAGTTTTCTTGCTCCTTCCTCATGCTACACTGGCTGCATTTACTGCAAGCTGTTGCTCCTACAATCAGCCAGGTTAATTCCAGCAGCACAGGCCAAAACTGGCTCCAGATGTGGCTCTGCCAGCTTGTAAGGGGCCATGACCATGCAGCTATGACCATATCAGGTGGGTTTTCTTAAAGGGGAACCATCAAGTCAAGCTTAGCTCTAAGCTTCACTTTTGCCAAACTTTATTTTAAACAGCCCACAAATAACCAAGCAGTTTGCCGGGCTCTCATTTTTATTTTACCAATGTTTCCCTGCAGGATTCAAAATCCAACAGTCTGAATTAGCACGTGAGAATTCAAAAGCCAAATTTTCCGCTACCCTAAAACTGATGCAAGAATTTTCTGCCCCCAATTTCAGAGAGATGCAGAAGGCGAGCACGCTGAAGTACTGCAGCACACAGTGCAGCGTTTCAGTTTCAAAACATCAAGATGCAATTTGTAAAACATAGATATCCTTAAGAAAACCTGTCCTTAACCTGACTGCGTCACCTTCCAGCCAGTTCCAAGTCCCTCATTTCCACTGTATCAGTTTGAACCAAGCATCCTGAACGAAGCATGCTCATTTAAGTCTTTCAACCACAGAACTTTAAAGCTCTGGGATGGTGGGAGAAAAGGAGAAGCATTTCACATGTGAAAAAATCCATAGCAGAAAAACTACCTATTTTTTGTTTTGCAGGTCATTTTTAGCCCATACACACCAGATTAAAAGCCACACAGCCAGTGGGGTTAATTCTGGAGACATTTACAAAGCTAGGATGAGTTGGCATCAGCAATTTCAGCAGCTGGCAGGTTTAGCCTGGGTTGGGAAAGCTCCGTAGGTACAAAAGCATTTTAGGCCCTTGCTTTTACAGGGCATGGTCTGAGGGGAGCAGGTTCTTCTAGATATGCTGCCATTAAATTTCCCAGTTCCAGAAATGCAGTTGCTTGGGAGCACCAAGGAAGTTACAGCAGAGCCTAATGAGCTGAGCCAATCTAAAGACCTTAGTGTCTAAACACTATTAGAAGTACAAACATGAATACAATTTAATCCCTCTGAGCCTTAACAGACCCAAAGCCCCTCACCCTTGAGGAATCCCCTTTGTCCCCCAGAAGGCAACAATCAGGCAGGGGAACCAAGTATGTGCTACACAGCTGGGCTAGCTTTTTTGAAGCCAGCTTTCCCTATCTGCTCACTTGCTTGCACTCTCAGCAGCAGTGGGCTAGTTCCTTTCCAGCCTTTCAGGGACTGGAAGGTGCTCAGGTGCCCAGCTCCCCTACCCAGAGAGAGGAAGTCGAGATACCTGTCAGATTGCAGGTTGGCAGAGCACAGCAGGAGGAGCTCAGAAGGGCATGTGCCAAGGGACACAGCATGGGACCCACTTTCATTTCCCCTCTTGTTTAAGTAGAGCATTTTAGAAAAAGAAGGAAAAGCAGAATAAAAGGCAAGCCCCATGAAGGATCACTGCCCACTGGAAGGGCTCTCCCTACATTCTAGAACAGCTCCCAACTGATGCTTTGTGGGTGTCAAAGAGTAGCCCTGTCCTGTGTTTTTAATGCAGAGAAGGGGACAGAGAAAGAAGGACTGGCAGTAAGAAGCTGCCTGTCCTGGGGTTCTCCAGAAAGGGAGCAAATAGCTCCCACCCTGCTTGGAGATGCCAAACATCTCTGGGCTCCTGGAATAGCAAGGCCTGCAGTGAGCCTAGCTCTCAGCATTAGGAGGATGCAGCCTGTCCTGCTCAGAAAGGCCTTGATTGGGTAGTCTCCATCCTCTGCCCCACTGAGGAAGGTTCTTTCAGAGTCGCAGATATTTTCTCTTCAGAAGCATGCTGGTATGTGCGGGATGTTTTCGGGGCAGCTGGAGCAATGACTGCAGCATCCAGAGGGGGAGTCCAGAGACAGGACACATGCTACAAACAGTGGACAGCCACTCTCCTTGGAGAGCTTCCAGACATGGAAGCCTTGGCACCTCAACTCTTCTGCCCCTAAGCACAGGGCAAAGGGCACTGCCCCTGTAACACTAACCTCCAAGTCAGCTGCACCCAGGACTGACTGGGAAGCCTGCAGATGAGACGCCTTGTGTAGCTGGATGGATACTCACTGCTTCAATTCAGAGGGGTGCCGCTGGGCTCCAGGGAAAAGCTCTGCATCACTCCACACTGGCTGTGAACTGCTTCATGGAATGCAAATCTAGACGTACCTCCCCACCACTGCATGGCAGATCTCCAACAGCCAGGCTCATGCTAACTACCTGTGTGCTACCCACTGCTCACACCAGCAGAGCTGGAGCTCCCTGTTCAGAGTCATCTCCTGGCTATTAAGGAACAGGCAAGTGTAAACTCAGTCTAGGGGGAAAATTGGGAAGAGAGATTCAAAGCCCACAGAATGAGAAGAGGAACTTAAAGCAAATCTCTGTTCAGATCCCCAAAGAATCCCTACCCCTGGGGCAGGCTGCAACTTTGAAGAGCACATGGGAGAAGCTGGGGCTTTACTTTCCACGACAGTTGCAGATTATTCATCCCTTGAAGTCTTCCCATCAACACTGGAGGCCTTTCTGGCAGAGAAGCTGAAGTCAGACCAGTTACCAGGCTGACTGCAGGAGAAAGAGGAGGATGCTCTGGGGCCAATGCTGTACTGTACATCAAGACTACATGTCTGAAGGGCACCTTCTGACCCTGGAGTTCAGGAAGGGCAAGAGCTAAGAAACAAAGCGACAAGGGTCTAAACCTCCTTCCATGGCTGCACATGTGGTTGGTATCTATGAACATTTCACATTTCAGGGCAAGCCCTTTCACAGGAAGAAGAGAAGTTGCATAGCAAAAGCACCCCAAAGAAGCTCCTCAAGAAGCAGTTGTAAATGGAAGCAGAGTGCTGAGATAATTTGGCAGGACTAATTATCCCCTTACGAAACTTATGAAGAGGCCAGAGAGCCAACGGTAAAGGAAGCATGCAGCATTCAGAGAAAGCAGAGTCAGAACTTGAGGAAGTGCTAGCAGCTTGGGCTCCTGCAGTTCTTCCCATCCTGGGTAGGAGGTCGTGTATGGTTAGGGACCTGGATGCAGTGCTGCAAGGAGTGCAGACAAACAGGGGCTGAAGCTGATGTTCACACAATCCACATGCTTTTGGGCTTCATCTTGCCCAATTCATGTCAGGGGTCAGCATTAGTAAAAGCACAGTCAGAACAAAAACATCCAGTACTTGTCAACACGAACAAGCTGAGAGAGAAAAGAATGACATATCCACAGATATTTCAGTTTCTTAAAAAAAGCTATAGAGGAAAGGAATCCGGGGCAGTTTGTGCACCTGGATGTATCGTACCAGGAGCAGTGTCAAATTTTCGGGGATAATTTGCCCCCTCACCCCCAATGAAATCAAGTCCTGAAACAAAAAAAAAAAGAAAAGAAAGAACCAGTGACATTTTGGCTTGAGAAGTGAAAACGAGTTTCATTGCCCCTATGAACACCAGATACGCAGTACCTGTGGATACTGTTAATATAAAGAGATGCTCAAGGCTGCTACAATGGAAACCAGATGACCATGCATGACACGTGTGTTGGAATAAGGGAATTTCAGGGTAAGCTCAATGTGCACATTACAGCACAGAAGCAAACCTGGATCCCTTCACCTAGAAAGAAACAATTTCTCACCCAAACCAGGAGAACATTTTTATCTACCCTTCCCAAGAACCACCTGCCTCAGACACAAGAGCTGCAAGTTCCAAGTAAGCAGAACTGGAGCATTCCTATCCGGCTCTATTATCCTACATATTGCAATATAAGGACATCCCCTTGCCCCACAAAGGTACAAATCCTCAATCCAACCCCCTCACATTCAAGATTCATTGGCTATATGTCACTGAATCACCCACTGGAGTTATAATCTGCAAAAAAGCTCAGACAAACACCCATACATGATTTGTTTGAGCTTGTTTTAGAGACACCATCCCTGTCTTCTAAAACAGAACAAATTTAGGGTTGCATGGTGGCCAGGCTTGTTAAAATGAACTGTATGGTTCTAAAGTTAGTTATACATGTATCCAAGAAATTATGGTAGCTACAGCATACTATTTATTATTAACCCATTCCTTGGGCAGGCAGCACGAAATCAGTAGCAAGCCACAGATTTTAATTTTTTTTCTAAAATGGTCAAAAGTGGTCTGATTTGCAAGGTGAGGAAACAGCTTCACCAGGTCTCTAGAAGCCCAAAAGCTTGTGTCCCCTGCCCCATAGCTATACAAGTTAGTCCAATACAAGATATACCCTCACCTCACAAATCTGGCTTTTCCCACATCCCTGGACCATCACAGTCCCACCATCACCACTACCAAAGAAGTTTTGCAGCTGACAAAAGCAGAGAGAAGGGCCAGTTGAAAATAGTCTCCGATTCTGATGTGCAGTTGTGGCCACTTCTTATAACAAAAAATGCTGAGCTCACCTGATTATCTCAGGGAAAGAACTGTGAAACTTGGAGACTGCTTCAGAAGACAACCCCCCCTCAAAACAGGCTACTAAGTTTTAGTCAGAAAAAGGGGTCCACGAGACTATGCCAAGTCACTGCACAGCAAAACTGCATTCTCCGGAGTGTCACAAACCTACTCTCAATGTTTATATGAAAATGTCCTGTACCATTTTTACGGTGCAAGAAAATGGCAAAGGCAAGAAAAAAAAAAATGTGGAGAGCCCCAAGAAGAAAGAACTGGATAAAAAGGGAAGCAATGAGTATACAGTACTCCTAGGCCTGGTCTCTCCAATTAGATCTCACCTTGCAAACCATCTGGGCAAGAAAAGTGATAGGAAGCACAGTGCTTCCATACCCAAATCAAGAGCAAGATGACATCTTAACTCAAAGGGCAGCTCACATACCATGCACAATGGAAAGTGGAATGGTCAGCCTTATTGATTACCAAGTGGCCTCTCTACAGGACACCCATGAGCTTCTGACGCTTACTGCCTGGTGTAGTCACCATAGCAGAGCAGTCATGACAATTCAATTGATAGTCTAAAAGTGTCTTACAGAATGCCAGCCCCAGAGGCAATGGACTCAGGTTGCTGAATTCCAGCCCTGAATCTACAGGTAGCTTTCCTCCACTCGGCCCACAAGACTGAGGGAGACTTGCAAGAAATCAAAGTCTGATTTAACGGGACTGAAGCATGGAGGTCACCTACTCGTGCCATCGTCGGGCTCAAAGCTGCCAGTGTTGTTCCACGTGTTGTTGTTGCTATTCCCATAGTTCTCCTCCGTACTGGCTGGCTCTGCGTAATCAGCTGGGTTGAAAGTTCTGCAGCACAGATTAGGGGACCAGATTTAGTTTTCCTCGCAACTGTTACAAGCGAAGATCAACTGCATTTAAATAAGGGCACTGCTGGAAGATTCCCAGCAGGCTCAACCCAACCCCCTTTACAGACAGGCTACAGCTGACTTAGCTATTCCAAATGTACCTGAGTGCAATGCTATGCTGACATGGAAACAGATAAACCAGCATAAGTCAATGGGGAATAACTGAAGCCATCATTCACTAACAAGATTACTATAGAGGCTTCCATATGCAGAGAGAAAAAAGAAAAAAATTGCAAGGAATTTTGCGTTTCCTGTGCTTTGGATTCAGTGAAACTTACCCCATGCCTTGGGCAGAAAATCTTCCCCCCCGCCTTCCAGAGCCACCTGCAAGATACACAATGGTTCTTCATCGTATTTCTGCAGCTGAACAGGGGAGCCTTCTTTGCTGTGCATCACTGAAGCTAAGAGTTTACCAACGCAGAGTTTCTAAGGCCCAACTATCTTCCCCTCCTGATAAGATTTCAGACTGCTCCTTTATACGCACGTGAATAACCCCAGTTAGCTAGCAACATGATTAGTGATAAAAGATTCTGTCCACAAATTAGTTCCCCCATCTGTCACCAGGTAAAAGGTATCAGGCACTAGATTCCAATTCCAATAGCATGTGTTCTCATCAGCAATTCCAAAGAGCTCAGGTTGTTTCATGGAGGGATTATTTTTGACACTGAGAGTTTTAAAAATAAAATCAAGTCTGTTCTGCTTATAGAGAACCAGTAAAGTTGCCCAGAGACAACCACAGGACTGGAAGCCCCCAGGTTCTGCTGCTAACGAGCCACCTGCCCAAGGTTACAATAACCACTTTTGTCTCAATTCTCCCCCTTCCTCCTCAGTAAGATGGGATAATATTTAATTACCACGGATGGGGAAGGAGAGCCAGGCAAAACCTCCAACAGGCTGAAAGCATGTACAGCGATACACAGGCACTAAGCAAGCTGTAGGTAGTAACTGCTCATGCATTGAAGTGCTGAAGCTAACGCTCCTGTGTGGAAGCACCGAAGTAGAGACAGTGGTGCACCACCTCCTCCCTTCTGCCACCTGAAGCTGTCTCCATACCTCTGCCTCGTCCACGACCTCGCCTCCCTCTCTCTGTGCCTCTTCCAGAAGATCCTCCACTCTTACCACCATCCAGCCCGTTCTCCTGGCCCCGAACTGAAAGACATGGAGCATATGACAATAAGACAGCTTCTAACATCACTACAGGCTTGAGAAGGATGCAGGCCAAGTGAAATACATAACAGCCCTAGAGCATGCTGGCGGGAGAAAGCCCATGCTACGGATGTCACAGCAGCTTATTTTGCTCCCACTGGTGAAATGGAGTGGCCCTGGGCTGAATTATTTGCTCAGTGACCAAAGGGTCAAGGACCATGTCATGGCAGCCGCACTAGCTCGGTAGCAGGGCACCAGAGAGGTCTGTGCATCTACAAGACAACACTTTTAGAGGCAGTGCCAGGCTCAGGGATATGCCAGGAACTTGTGTGCAGTGTGTGAAGGACACGTCTACACCACCTCCAGGCCATGCCAGGCTGCTCTGTGGTGAAGTATGGTGCCCCCAGGCTACAGACACCAAATCCAGAAATGGATGCTACAGTGCTGCAGCCACCTTAAAATGGCATGGGAGAAAATGCTCTGTCTTTGCGGTGCTACTGCACCATGCTGCATCTGTTCCCAGGCCTAACAAGTGCAGAATAGGCCTGCCCCGATTCCCGGTGGCACTGCCTAGCACAGGTTGGGGGTGGTGTACACGTGCCTGAAGTGTCCTCCCCTGTCCCAGGATAGTTACAGCTGCGACTGAAGTACGGGCTCATACACTCTCTCCCGCGGCTGGCGCCTCGGCCCCGCCTTGGTGGTCCGCCACGTCGCCGGCTGTAATCCCGATCCCTGTCCCGGTTCTCTTTGCTTTCTTCACTGGGTTCCGTTTGTCCACTCTCCTTCTGTCCCGAGACACCCTTCTTCTTACCAACCATTTCCCAGGAATGCTGAAGGAAAGAAGAGGGGCAAAGAGGTTAGCTGCTGGCTGATCAACACTGGGATGCAGGTTACATGGGGTACTGAACAACCTACAGAAAATGTAATGAGGGAGGCCAGAAAAATGTTCCAACAGAACAGGAAATAAGAGTTCATCTGCCTGCATTTACCCAGCTTCCCATAACAACCAGTGCCTCCCTCCTTCTCCGCAACCAGAGCTTCTAACATCTTGCCAGCCTTCAGTCATATGTTACCCAACCAAACCAGCAACATTCATTCTTTAAGTGAGAGACTGCACAAAGCTCTTGGACTGAGCCCCAAAGTTTTTCTGTTTGACCTCAAAACTGATAGTATGCTGCGGTCAGGCAGGCTTATCCCACTGCTGGCCTGCAGACCAAGTGAGGAGGGCTCCAGGGACATATCCCTTAAATCACCATGCCTGTTGAGTATCAGCTCATTGTAGAGGCCAGTTAAAGTGGGCTGGCTCTTGCAAGGCAGAAAGCTGTTAGCTACAAACTGAAGGGAGACCCACCACCTCCAGTCACATATATCACTCCTTAATCTCCCATGTGGAAGCTAGATTTGAATTCTCTGCACTAACCTAGATCCCTCCAAGCCCTCCAAGGCAGAAAGATCATCACTTGGCAACATTCGAGGCAACAGAAACATCCTCTCAATAGCAGCAGGGTCTTCTAAAAAATTCCAGTGATCACTTCAGCTCCTCAGAAAGATCTGTGCTAGGTCACTTGTGGGATCAAAGGACTGTTACAAAATACCCTGTTACCTTGTTCATCTGAACAAGGTTGGGCTGTAAGAAGGACCTTACCTATGTTTTCATAAAGACAATGCTCAAGGGTGTCACTTGTCTAGACCCCAGGTCTAGAGGCAGTATCTACTAACCATGTTCACCATCAAACTTACACAAACCTTGCCAGGATCTGTCATTCCTACCATGCAGCCTTGCCTGGTTCTGGGAAACACACAAGCACTGAACAAGGGAGCTCAAGTCACTCTGAAATAATTACAGCAAGTTAAATACACCATCAGTTCACCCCTGCTTCCCAGACATACTTGTCGCCAGCCCACAGTGGTTTCACACTGGCACTAACTGATGCTGCACACTGTTAGCATAATTAAGACAGAGCCACAAGTCACTGACAAACACGTGAAAATATGACTCGAAGCTAAAGGAACAACTGGTCTTGGATAGCAATGTGCAGAGATGGTGGCAAAAAAGCTTTTGACACAAGCCACCTTCAAACCAGAGGTCTTTGCCACCATCTCCCACAGCCAACTGGCTCGGAAAGGACTTCAAGATAAGTTACTCTGTGCAGAGCAATTATAAACTACATCAAACCAAGCACCGCTGTCACCTCAACTCTTCTGTCCCCTGAAATGTGACAAGTCTCTTCTTATCTGTTTGGCTGAGGCCACCCCTCACTACTCTGAGGGTCCTGAGATAGGAACAAGTCTGAGCCATTAAAACAGGCATCTTTTCACAGTGTCATCAGACAGCAATTGAGTTCTGACCAGAAGCAGCTCAGAAAGCTTTTGCCAATTGCAATGCAAATGACAGCCTAGCTCATAATGCTGCAGATGGTAACCTGCGGGCCCCCTATGGCATTGCAGACTGAAATAGCTGGCATGGCAAGGGTTTTACTTTGCCAACATTGGTTCGGGCACTACCCAGCTACAGCAGCGACCGTGTTCTGCATCCTATGCAGCTGAATGTCCCCATTGACCACAGAGAGGAAACACCAACACAAGGCTTCACGTGTGTCGTCCTCACTACAATTTGCAGGGGCAGTTGCTCATTTAAGGAATTCAACTGCCCAGATTCTAACTGTCTGTTGCTTATCAGAAACTGCTCCTGGCAGGGATGCCAACACTTGCCTGTGAGAGGTTCTGATACTATTGTCTTTTACAGGGAGTGCTCAACTAACTACCGCCTGATGAATGGGAAAGAGCTGAACCATAAAGCCATGTGGCTCGCTGAAGGCATGGAATCTAAACTAGGTAGGCTGCACATAGCTCAGCACATGCCAAGACCAACAAGGGTCACTGGAGCCCAGGCTGCAGGACAGCTGCTATACAGGACACATCTGGCAGGTCCACATGGTACTGTCTGGGCTCACATTTAGTAACTAGAGCAGCCACTCAAGGTCCTCAGGAAGTGACTTTCAGAGCCTCCGGCCCCTGAAGTCAAACAACTGCTTACCATCAGCCTTCCCATACCCAAAATGCCACAGGCAATCCCATGAAGCAAAGCCTTATCTTCGCTGTGGTCCCAAGGGGTTCAACATCATCCACCTAGAGCTTTCCTTGACTGTATCAGGACTGAGGTCTGGCTGCCTTTGTCCCAAAGGAGGAGGACCCATGTTCCAAGATGCTCTGCAGGCAGCTCCCTGCAGGCAGACTTATTTTGAGGGTTTATTCAGGGCAGTAAGAGTACATGGGGAAGCTAGAATGTGTGCAGACCACAGGGATGAAATCCAGCTCGGCAGAGCACACTGCAAGTGGCAGCACTGGGCACTAGGGCCTGTGAGGGCATGCCACACAGCGTGAAGAACCCAAGCCATGGCAGGCCAGTCAGCTACGAGGCAGGACTGCACTTAGTTAAGAGGTGAAAGCCCAGCACTGTAGACCACAAGACAGGAGGAACAGGAAAGAGTAGAGCATTTACCAGTCTTCACCTTCATCCTTTAAGCCTCTCCTAGGTCTGCACAAGCCATAGGCATATCAACCAGGCACAACCACCTACCAGGACCTGTATGCCCCAAATGAACAGACAGCAGATCTGTGCAGATAGCACTTGGAAAAATCACCTCCCCAACTCATGCTCTGGATACAGAGTCTTCACGGGGACACCCTTTTTCTACAAGTGGAAGGAGCCAGGCCTACCGTGTCCGGATTCCCCTCCAGCAGCACGTTGATGGCTCTGTTAACATCCCCGTTGCAGTCGTGCAGAGCAATCACACACTCATCCTGGTTTTTGCCCGTGATGTCAATCAGCTGTGGAGAAAATGACACCAGGAGCTCATTCCAAGCCCAGACAAGGGACAGGTCTTCTTTGACATACCCCAGGCTCCAGACCAAGGACACACTCCAGTCCTTGTGAGATCTACTAGAGGAGAGCAGATCACCACAGCATCACAATTCAGTCGTCTCAAAACCAGGAATCCAAGCATTCCAAGTTGCGGGAGACAGAGGGGATATCTGGTCGACCACAAGGACTCTCCTGCACCAGGAGGGCCAGTTTAGATGCAATGACTACTGTGGAACGCTATTAACCCATTGGAGAGTATGCCTCTCCAGACCCTGGAAGAGCACATCACAGGATGAACCCACTGCTGTTGTTTAGTACACGCTAGATGTTTACAGGCAATAGCTGATGCACAAAGTAGAAGACAAATTCAGACAAACCCAAAGACCACTGTCAAAGTTTAACACAGATTTGTGGTTTGCAGCAGCCATGTCAACGCGACAAGCCCATGAGCAAAGACAAGCATTGCCCAAACATTTGCATCCCAAGTGCTGTTCTGGGAACTGCACTTGGCTCCATTCCTTGTACAGACAAGACCACCTTACAGCCTCTCCCTATGCATCTACAAGTTTGTATTTTAGCAGGCAGCACAGCCAGCAAAGGGGCAAGCAGACTAGCGCACCAGCCACAGCGCAAAAGGAAGCAATGAAACACCAGATTTTAGGGATGAAAACAAAACAGCCCAGAAATGCCTAGCCCAGGGTTACGGAGCAAGCCAGTGGAAGAGCCTGAAGTAGCTCCCAAGTTCACAATCCTGTTCTAACTGGTGGATACAGTCACTTCATCCATAGGCAAGATTATACTGAGCCCCCGGAACACCTCCAGTTTAATGAAAGTGTTTCTGCTGAGCCAAGAAGCCATCTAAGCATTCACATCTAAGCTCAAGACCAACGTGGCAACCAGCTGCAGCAGATCTGGCTGCTGTGTGGCTGAGCTAGTGAACTCTGGGCTTAAGCTGCAGCACCCAATACAGCTCCACAGCATCCACACATTCGCTTACAGAGGTGGAGGAAGCACCTCAGCCCCAGTGCATCCAACTCAGGACAGCCCAGTGCAGCACAGCCTAAGCAAGCAGACAAAAGAGTAGACAGATGGAGCACCTTTGACAAGGTAGAGAGAAGCAGCAGCAAGAAGAAACAATACAGTTTCTGCAGCTCACAGGTACAGGACAGGGAGGCATCCCCTGAGGCAGTCAATCCAGCTCCTGGCTTTCACAAGCAACCAAGCTCATGAGAAAAATGTTCCATCCCCTCAACCATTCTGACAGCCCTTCCCCAAATCTGCTCCCACCTAAACACATGGTTATTGGACAAGCAGGAATGCACTTGGCCTTCTAAATACAGCTCATGACAGCCAAGTGCCACCTATCACTTCCTGTGGCTTGCTGCAATGAGAGAAGCTTTCCTTGGTCTGTCCAACTGCAGAGTCGTGCAGACACAGACAGACTCAGCAGGCAAGCAGGCCTCCAGCTGGCAAGACTATTCAAGCTAGCTGCCCTCCTTCTCACTTCCCTCCAACCCTGCACTGCTAACCCACAGCCAGTTCCTGTAAATAGCCTAGTTCAGTTACCACCATTCATCTGAGCCCCCAGCTCAACACAGCTGGCACTTCAGCTCCTGGAAACGAAGACACGGGTAACAGAGAGGCACCCCATTCCCACCCCCACAACCCAAACATTGGCTGTGCTCTAGCCAGACCCTGCATGCCCCCCAATCTGCCCATGTCTCCACACTCACTTGTTTCACTTTCTCCTCAAAGTCAGCGTCATTGTGGTCCGAAATCATCTGTGCAAGTCGAATCTGTTCCGCAGTAGCCTAAAGAGCAAAGGTGGAAGAGATGCAGGATTACAGCAGTGCTTTTCCAACCAGCCACTTTCCAAAGAACAAGGTTCAGCTCCCCTGCAAGCACCAGAACAGAGCGTGTACAGAGGGGGAAAGGAAGGAGAGCAAATGTGGGTCTGAGAGGGGAGGAAGGACAAAGGGCCAAGTGAGGTGTGGAGGAGAGTGAGGCCCTGTTGGACACTTCCCCATGCACGTGAGCCAACTGGCTCACCAAGCACCGCCCTCTCTCTTCTTGGGGCAGATCTCAACTCCCAGGCACATTCTGCAGGTGAACATCAGCAATCCGTGTTTGTTAACAGGGGCAGGGAGCAGCCCGAAGAAAGCAGAGTGGTTTCAGCTCCAGCTCTCACATGGGAACACTAATGAAGTAGCTGTGCTACCAGCAACAGCCCAAGCAGCCTGTCCCTGCCCTGCCCTGAGCAGCAGCGCCCTTGAGCACACAGGAAGTGGTTCTGGGAGACACGTTAAGCCAAGCCCAGCTATTACTCATAACTGCTCTGACCAGCTAAGAGTGCCAGGTCTCCACCTCCAAGCTAGCTGGTTTCCATGGACACTCCCCTTACCTGTGGCCGCTGCTTGTGCTGTGTCTGGCTCTGTGTCTGTGTCTGCTCCCAGTTCCCCCGGGCTCGGTTAGTGCCCACCGATGTCATCATTTACAGTATATACAAATAACAGTATTTACAAGGTAGAACTCTGTGGTGGGGCAGGGGAGGAGAGAGAACAGACGGTTAGAAACTGGAAACAAAAGGCAGCACCCAGAGGCTGGATGATGGAGTGGGCGGGACCACATGGGGGTTGGTTACCACAAGCCATTCCCTAGCCTGCCGGCACCTTTCCCAAACAAGGGCAGGATTAAAAGGCAACTTTTAAGTTTCTTCTACCACTAACAAGCAACACCAGAACTGGAGCATCCCTACTGCCAGTAGACAGTGCATTGCCTCCTGCTCCCTCTTGCCTACCCCCAAATCTAAAAGCAGAAATACTTTTCTTCTTGGTAGGAGTATGTTCCATGGCTGACACATGAGACCAAAAAGCATAAATTAGCTGTAGAGTAAGAATGTTGTAGTCATGGTGGTCCAGAAATGATGGGAGAGACAAGATGTCACCCTAAGAAATCCTTGCCTTTGCATTAATTTGCTGACACTGACAATTCCAAGAAGGGGATGCAGAAGCACCACAATGCTGCTGTGAGGGACATTTAATGCGTGCTCCCAAGAGATGCCACATCGCAACAGAAACAGCTCAAAGCTCTCACCTCATCAACTGATTTTCTGTTCCAGCTGCTTGCTCCCTTTGCTCCTTGCAAGTTTGCTGTATCCTGTTTCCCTCATCCCAGAGAAGGGTCGAGGAAGTGGATCAACCCAACTGAAGATAACCCCCAAATATCAGACAGGATGTTACAGGTTGGTGTGTTTAGTTTATTTAAACAAAGCCTGCACTCCAACATGAAGAATCTATTCCATCTATGTGGACTGTTGTCCTGGTCTAGGAATGCTACTTCTTTTTCCTACAGTACAGTATGCTGCATAATTATCACTACAAACACAAATTTCCAAATTGTGTTAAAAATAAATGCAGGATTCATCCAGTTCACTCACAACCCACGCAAGACATAGGAACTAACTAGAAGTGTAGAACAATGTTGCACAGTAGTTTGGGTCAAGAACCTTAGGAAGTTTAGCACAGGGAATATCCTAGCCAAGTAAAACTGAAGATCCCAAATCTGCCATTGCAAGGAATGCCCAACAGTGACAGCAAGGCAGCAGACACGCTTGCCACACCCGACCTGCCCTCAGGAGCAAGGAAAGTGATATAAATCTCAAAGCACCAGGAAAGATCAGAGGCTCATAAACAATACTGAAATTAATCCTTAGGCACTCTGCTAATAAGAGTGCAGACTCTGCCTCTGGAGCAATGGGTCCTGTGCTAACTGCTAATGCAACATGTGCGATTTCCCTAAACCAAGAAGAAACAAAGAGTAGAGATGTGGACTGGTATCTGGCTAGGAAAGCAGAGCAAGACGATCAAGAGGCCACTGTCCCCATGAAGCTCAGCGCTGCTCCACAAAGTGGAAATAGGGTGGGAAAAGTCGAAAAGTAGCTCTGCTCAGAGCCAAGATCTAAATCTTCAAAGACAGTTCTGAGGCTATAAACCACTCCTTTGGAGTGCAAGAGGCCCCTCAAATTAGGTCTACACTGCAATTGTAAACACAGTTCTCCTTACTCCTCCAGCAAGATGCATGGATTAGCTCCTGTAGCTCACGTGTTTTCAAGTTTTAAGGCTTTCCTGTAACTTCATAGAACCACAGAACTTCTCATGAAACGTCCAGAAGTTAAACCCCCCTCGTGTGATGCCCACCTTGCAACAATCTAAAAACAAAGACTATTTCTGTACCTCAAACCAAATCTCTGCTTATTAGAAAGCACAATCTGTACCATCTCTCTCAGCCTGCCAAAAGAGCATCCAGCAGTAGATTTAACAAGGCAGAACAGGACTTTAAAAAGGAATATACAGCAGAAACTTCCCCAGAAGTCAGAAAATGAAAAGCCTCTTAAGCTACATAGCTAACCTTTCTGCACTTTATATACAATTCTTCCCTGTGGTATTATCCTCGTTCCCCACTGCTGCATCTATTCTGGTTCTCAGTATTTCTCGTACAAACAAGTTGTCATATTAACCCAATTTGGCATCAGAATTGCCAGCCCAGAGGGAAGCAATACTGCCTGTTTGCAGTAACTTAATCTGCAATTTCAATAGGATACAGTTCTATTAGTTTGCTGTCCTAAACCTGTGTGTGCAGTTATTGGGTACTGTTTAACAACTGCCATGTTCCACTGCTGGCCCAGCTATACTCTACCAATGGATTAAATAACCCCCACATATAAAGCTCAGGAATTATCCACTGATACAGAAATATCAGCCCAAGCCTTAATGCTACCAACTGCTGTAGGCAGGTGGATGCCTGAACCCCCACAGTGCTCCATGAACCAGTCGTAGGGCTCCGTGTAGGTACAGGTAACTGGCCACCAAGTACTCACTGCCAGATCACAGCCACTGGGAACCGACAGGTTTCAGGCACTATTAAAATGCAAAACAGAGCCAACTTCTTGAGCAGCTGAACATGACTGCACAGAAACAGCTACAATCTGATTTGAACTGGTCTTTCACTGGGCATGTTTTAAACGCAGTCGATCCATGTATTTCCTTTTAAACCGTAAAGCAATTCACACTCCAGCGCAGGTGCTGTATAAATAAAATTATGACTGCAGATAGCCAGGGACACAATGAAAAGAGTCTGGAATGAAATATGCTAGGGAAGAGCAAAATGTGAAATCAATTTGACTTTTCTGTTACAAGCCCAAAAGGGAAGCAAAAGTGCTCGCAAGGCAGCAAGAGCAAGCAAGGAGCTCTACAGCCATACGTCACACGATTTCTACCTGCAAGAACTTGAAGTTTAATTTACTCCACAGTTACTCTTCACTTTCAGTGCTAAACTGCCACTGCTATTCACTCGATAGGTAGAAAAGAGATCCGTTTACACGCTATTTGTTTCTGCGGGGTTTCAAGGAGAAAGGGCAATAAACTTAAGTTTTTAATAATCGGCTTGCTGGACTATAAATTTAAACCATTGCAGTTTTGTAGAACAAGGATCCATCGCTCAAATCCATTATTTTTTTAAAAAGTGCTCGCAGCCCAAAACCAGCATTCAGGAGCCCTGGATCCTAACCCCAGTTCTGCCGCCATTACCGGACTCCTTCAGACATGTCACAGCACGTCTCAGCCTCAGTTTCCCCATTTGTGAGAAGGGAGAGATGATCTTTTCACACACCCCCCTCCACGCACCTTAATTAACATTTGCAAACCAGGCTCTGAGGTTTCAGATGAAAGGACTACAGAAGGGCAGAGCGCTAGGAGTGATTATTCTGCACGGCTGGGGAGAACACGTACCGGAAAGAGCCTGACACAGAGGGATACTCTACAAGGGCTATGTTACGCTTCACCCAGTGCTTTGGCTGTGCGTGAAAATAATCCATGTATTGAGACGACAGATTTTTGTCTGACAAAGCTTTGCAGCAGAAGGTATGGCAGGGATCCAAGCACAGTACCAACGTAGGTCTCTGAACGGGACTCTTTGGACGCCAAAGCTATGTCAACACACCGCAGCGAGGCCTTCTACAGTGGCGTGGATGCCAACAAAGTGGGCAAGCCTCTCGCTAAGAATCAAACATCGCTCCAGACCAGCGCACAGTTGCCTGCAGGACTCTGGGCCAGCCTGGATAACGGGGGCAGGCAGTGCGAGAAAAGTCACAGGCCAGGGCCTCAATTCAGACAAAAAACCCTCATCTGGGTCGCCCTTCTCTCCCCCAAAGAGGGCTGCAAGGTTGGAGAGGCGAGGGCTGGCCCAGCCCTGCTGAACAAAGGAGGGCAGCCAGGAAGCAGGCTGCCCCACGGCTCCTGCCAGTCACAAGCCAGCGGCACGTGGGCGCTGC